GAACCAGGCGCTGACCCCGAGCAAATCCATCCTGTCAGCATCCTCCGTGGGATTGCTTTCCCTTCTTAACAAACAGCTCCTATGCTCTTGTTTCCATGGCAGGGTGTTTTTTCCCTTTGCTCAGCACTAGCTGGCTTTCCGGTATGGGATGCTGCTCGAGGATGAAGGAAAACACGTGTTTTTTGGGGGCCGGGTGATACAGCAGCGCTTTGTGTTCTGCTCTCCGTGCCTCTCTCGCTCCTCCAATCGATCCTGGCAACAGCAAATGTAAAAATAGATGCCGGGTGCTTTCTGCCTTTCCTCCCAAACCTGCCTTTTGGCAGCCGTGCTGTGTGGCTCGCCGTTCTCCTTGACTCTCAGTGGAGGCAAGTGGGAGGAGAGAGGAGCCTTTTGCACAGGAAAGGGTTTTACCGAAACTGTCTGGAGGCATTTTGGATGTGCTGATTAAACACGGTGACCCAAATGAGCGTGCACAGCCACGCAGGGGGGGCCGGGGAGCCCTCTGCCATACATCAATCCTCGCGAGCAGCGTTCGGACAGTGGGATGGGAGCTTGCAAACCCCCCGCGCACATCTCGCTTCCCAGGAGCTGCCCGAGAGCTCGCAGGGGCCTCCAGCAGCTTCCCCTTTCCAGGGCATCTGCGGGGAGTTTTCTGTTTGAGGTTTCCTCTCCCGTCCCTGGGTGCTGGGGTGGTTTGCTGCTTCCTTCCCCCTGCAGAGATCCCCGGGGCCTGGGTGCCCCTGCCTCTTCCCTGTTGCGGCATCCGTGGACGGCAGGTCCTGGGGTGATGCTGGGAGAAGCCCTTTGCTTTTGGGGGGGGCCACGCATCCAGCACGGTGCAGTGCTGCAAGCAGGCACTCGATGCACAGAGGAACTGACCTGTAGGACACCAGAGGGAAGAATATAGATTTTTTTTTTTTTTTTTTTTTTTTTTAGCAAAAGCTAATAGCCCGGACCTGCAGCTCATATCTTCAGGCTGGCTGGAGCTGCGTTCCCTGGATGTGTTGGGTTGGAGATGTCTCTGAGCAGGCTCGGGTCTCCATGCAGCCAGGGCCGAGGTGCCGCAGCAGAAGCGTCGCCTTGCCGTGGAGGTGGGCAGTAGCTCTCGGGTGGAAAGGAGCAGTTCTCCACGGAGCAGAAGGGTGGGAAGCAGCGGGTTTTGTCCTCCACTCCGTGTTCAGGGGGAGACCTGTTTCCAGTTGCAGGGAGCAAGGGAAAGGGGCACAGACTCGGGCACCAAACACATCTCCTTAGCTAGGAGCAATCCTATTCCCCATTCACCGCCAGCTGAAGCACCGGGATGAGACAGCCTGTTTAATTTAATGTTTTTTTTTTTTCAATTAGCAAAGTCTGTGTCAGGCTGTGACCCTGCCAAACCCTGCTAAGAACAGCACCCTGGGAGACAGTGGCTGGAGATGGGTGGCTTGTCCTGGATGTCCTGTGCAGTGAGGAGCTGGGCCCAAGCTGGTGGCACCTTCCTGAAGAGAGGTCTCCAAAACACCTCCAGGAAGCAGGTCCTTGCAGTCCTGGGTCCCTGGTGCTGGACGTGCTTGGCACAGCTTTCTCAATCTCCCCATGCTCCTCAGTGCCAGCACCTCTTCCACAGACTGATTAATATAACCCAGTTAAATTCAGAACAATTGGTCTGAGCCTGAGCTGCGAAGCCCACAGCTGCTATTTCAGATCTGGAAAAGGTTTTGTTATGGGCAGAAGTTGGTTTGTTTTTCCAGGCGTGTCATCTAGTCCCATGAATGAGGTCACGTCCCCCCTCCGAGACTTGGGTTTGGGTCACCCCAATCCAGAAACCTTCCCACCCACATCTCCCCCCTCAGGGCAGCTCGTGGAAGAAACGTGGGAAACCGAGGGGTGTGGGATGGGGTTAATAACAAAAAAAATGCTGCCAAAGTTTGTGTTTAGCTGGACTGGGACTTGAAACCTGCCCCAATCCCGTTCTCCTGTTGCATCCTGGCTGAGGCAGTGTTTGTACCTCCTGTTTCCACTGGAACTGATTAATAAAAAAAAAAAGCAAAAGCCAACATGGAACAACTTAATCTTCCCAAACACTCATCTTGTGCCATAAACTTAGAGCTCAGCCTAAAAATAGCTCTGTTCCCTGTTTGAGGTGTAGTCCCGACTGCTGATTAGGTCTTGGGAACCAAAAATAGCTCCTTAATCCAGAGCCAGCATAAGCAGAGGTTTTTCCTTGAACGGGCACTTTTTGAAGCAGATCAGGTTTTAAGGCTTGTTCTTTCAAAGGCGGCGGCGCTGAGCACCCGAATTAATTTTAATGACATCAACATTATAAGTGATGGGACGGGAAATGCTGAAAGCGTATCCATGTGAGCTGATCCAGTGCTGAGATCTTACGGGCTGTTAGATCTCATCGTCCTCAGAAGCTCATACCTTTCCTTATGTTAATCCACCCAGATTTTCTCTCAATGTCATCCTGTGGGGGGAAAAAAAAAAAAAAACAAACCTAAAAAAACATCTACTTGCAAGATATTTTTTTTTTTTAATTTTTTTTTTTTTTTCCTGTGAAATGATTCAGCCCCCTAGTTTTTCCTCTCCCAGCTGGCAGGCTGCTGCAGCCCTTTCCTCTTGAATTTCTTCCAGGTCTTGCATCAAACTGAACAACGTAGTATTTGATGTGCTGCAGCCACAGCCTGGTCCAAGCAGCCTTTTCCCCACAGCTCCTACGGGAAGTGTCTGCTGGACTCACCTGCTCCTGCTCCCCTAATTGCTCCCTGGCAGCAGATCAGCCTGTTTGGGGTCTCTCTTTGTGGCTGCTGGCTCGCTGTAAGGGGTTAATGCTGCTTTAAAAATATATATTTTTTTTTTTTTTTAATTTTTAAATTTTTATTCTTGCACACCTGGATATTTCCAAGCTTGAAGCCTGGGTACTGAAAATTTTGCAGTGGGCATCATTCGGGGGTGGGATAAGCAAGTGGTAGGAACAGGGATGAGGTTCCCTGCAGATTTAACCCCGTGTCTCTGCCCAGCAAAGCCCCAGGCACTATCCCTCCTGCATCTCAGTGGCGCCTGAATTACGTGGTGAAGGACCTGGGTGCTTCCAGCTATGACTCATATTACTTAGCCAGGCATTCCAGCAGGGAATTACGGGTTTTGTTCCCCATTCCTGAGGTACACTGTAGGCTCCGTGGGCTTTCCAGCTCCTCCCTTTGTCCAAGATGCAATAACTTCCTCAGAAGTAATTCAGAAACTTCTGGAGGACAAGATTCAAGATTTCTCCTCACCCTGGTGATTTCAGGGTGGTCACACCCATCTCCATCCCTTCATATTTTCTTTCACTTTATTCTTTTCTCTTTTCAGTGACTTCACTTTTCAAGTGGATATAAAACACTGCTGGGATTTTTATTTTCTGGGAAATCATTAACCCAGGTCTAGAAATATCTCCCACCTCCCGTTGCTCTGTGTTTTGCCCCTGAAGCGTGTCACAGAGACATCGGGTCTGATTTCCTTGTTGCCTCGTTAAGGCGAATTTTCACACTTTGATCTGGGAGGGATCAGAGCTGCCGGGGCTCATCCCGTGAGACGCCTGGAACTGGGGCAGAAAGATGGGGCGTCTCACGGGAGGAGAAGGGAGCGAAGGGCCACTGGGTTGGCAGCGGTTTTGGGGAAGTAACGGTTCCCTCACGGCCTGTGTTTTGTGCTGCCCCGGCTGAACGTGGTACCGTGGTGAAATGGAGAACTAGAAGGTGCTTCTGGGCACCTCTTGCTTTGGGGTCCTCTCACCCCTCTCCCATCACATACCAGGGGTTGCTCCGGGCCCTGCTGGTGCTCGGGCTAGTCCCTGTGGAAGGCTTGGGCCTTAACTGGAGGTTGGGAGGTTTTTTTTTTCCCCTTGTGCAGTGAATGTTTTGGAGGCTTTTCCCGTGTTCCTTCCACCTCTGTGTGCAAAGCTACGGAGAAAAATCGGTGTTATGGGTTTTTATCTGGGGCAGGGCAGCGGGGAGCATCCCCAGTAACCTGCTGTGGAGTCAGGTGAAGCTTTTGTGCTGGTGGATATGGCCGATACCTCCTTCAGGAGCTCTCACCAGCCCCAGCAGTGTGGTGCTGGGCTTTGGTGACCAAAAGAGGTGTTGGAATAAAGTCCTCTTCCCTCCTCAGCTCAGGCTTCTGGCTGCGTCAAATTCTACAGACGTTTCAGCAGAACAGAGGGATTTGGAGAAGGGGAAGGTGATTGATGTATAGGTGTGCTGCATCCTCCACCACCACATCAGGCCATCGCAGATCCCAAAACTGTATGGCAGGCTAAAGCCTGCCATCAGCCAGCTGCAGAAATGCTGATATTTCCCCAAAATCCAGTAACCTGAGTAGGGCAGGGTTGGGTTGGATAGGGTAGGTGATGCGTGGTAGCTTTTCCTGCCTGTGAAGAGCTCTGAGGATTCAACATCTTCTAAATGTTTGATGCAAGGAGACTTCTAGGCAAACTTCAGCATCTCTATTTAGGATGAGGCATGGGAGGTCTGGCACGAAGTTATTTTAATGAATGTTGTTGAGTGCCTTTGCCATTACGGTACTGTCTCTGACTTGAAAGGATTTGTTCTGAGTCACTGGATCCTGAATATTTAAAACGCAAGCACAAAGCACCATCTTTTTTTAAACACGGGCTCAGAGCAACGTATCAACTGACCGTACAAAAATTTGGCCACCGGTAACTTTCCTCTGAAAGGCACAGCGGTGTCTGACGCCGAGGCGGTGTTTGCCAGGTTATTTACTGGGAGGGCAGTGTTTAGTATTAGCACAGGGATGGAGATGGCTCTTACAAAGCTGCTGCGGTTCAGGGAGGGGTCTGGTCCCATGCGACACCTCCGTGCTTGGCATTTGTGTGTCCCTGACTCAGGTTTTAGGTGACTTTTGGGACACTTGTGCTAGCACCCACCCAGCATTCCCTCTCCTCGAGGGTCTTCCTGGCCTGTGGCTCTTGGAAGTGACGGAGGGGCCTTTCTTTTTTTTTTTTTCCCCTTCTCTGGCTCCAGGTGGTACAAGCTACACTCCAAGGCTGGGAAGAAGGAGAAGGAGCGTGGCGAGATCCTGGTGAGCATCCAATTTACACGCAACAACCTCACGGCCAGCATGTTCGACCTGTCCATGAAGGACAAACCGCGGTCGCCCTTTGGCAAGCTGAAGGACAAGGTGAAAGGCAAGAAGAAATACGACTTGGAGTCGGCCTCTGCCATCATCCCCAGCAGCATGGGCGCCCTCGACATGGAGGAGGACTACGACACTGGGGGCAAGAAGTCCAAAGTCAAGGGCTTCTTCTTGAAGAACAAGCTGCGCAAGTCGTCCCTGACGCAATCCAACACCTCCCTGGGATCTGACAGTACCATCTCTTCCGCCAGCCTGGGCTTGGCCACAAATGTTCCTGAGGTAACCAAATCCCCGAGCAGACACAGCAGTCTGTCCACAGAGCGCTCTGGTAAGAGGATAACAGCTTTAATTCCAAACACCTCCCCCCCCCTTTTTTTTTTTTTTCCCCCTTTGTAAGGGACTGTTGAGGTTTTCCTGCAAATCTGTTAAATAATTGCTTGCCTAAGAACCAACGTCCTGCACAAACCCTCTGAGACCACCTGTGTGCTGGCAGTAACCTACTTGCCAGAGCAAGGGGAGACGTCTAAGATTTTGCTTTTTGTGCTGAGCCTGTGTGTGAACAGCCTGGCTGACGCTGCACGCCCTCCCTGCAGCGCACCACGAGCTTGCGGGCTACCGGGGCTCTCTAACACCTTTTTTTCCGCCCCCTAAAAGCAAGTTGCTAACACCGACTCGCAGCAATAAACCCCTGGGAGAGAGCTGGGGGCTGCAGAGCACGTTGCTGCTGCCCGGCTGTCTGCCGTGGGCTCGGAGGCAAAGCTCAAACAGTGTCCGGGCCCTGGTGATTAAAGCAATCTGAGCTCTTGGCGCTCGGAGAGCGGCGATTTGCAAACAAAAAAGGTCCTTGTAGTGAATTAATTCTTGCCGTCCCTTGAAAACAAAATATATAATTAAATGGTTTAATTGGCTGGAGACAGCAAATTCCCGTATTGGGTGGGAGTAGCTGGGTATGTGTTGCTTCTCACTGTGCTGCTGAAGCCGCCAGCGTGATGCCTCTCGGTTTCTGCTGGGTGACATTCCCGTGCGCGGCCGGAGAGCGAGCGGAGGCGCCGGTCTGGGCCCCGTCATCCTCGTGTCGTCACGGAGGAGGTGGCATCTCTGTCTAGGAGGGGGAGAGCTGCGTGTCCCATGAAGTCCAGGCAGTCCTTCTCAACCGGGCTCTCCACCCCAAAAATCTGCTGAGCGTTAGCAATAGCCGCAGGGTCAGGCAGCGGGAGGGAGAAGCAGGCGCTGGACCCTCCTGGCTTATATCACACAAAGCAGCAGCCCGGCCTGGCGGGAGCGGAGCTCAGAAGCTCATCATCTGTTGTTCAGTGCAAAATCTTAAATCACCTGGAAGCGTAAGCCCTTTAAGTAGCTTCATGGCTAGTTTTTTTTGCATTTATTACCGATTTCAGATCCTTTCAGACAAGGCGCTTGTCATCTTACAGAGCCTCCCCTCTGGATCCTGCAGTGGGAGGTGATGTGCTTGGGGAGAGTATCGTATAGCCTGTATAGCCACATACTTGTGACCCGTGCTTTGCATTTCTAGTAATTTAATTATAATCCGGTAGAGCCTGGGAGGGAGAAAGCCAGGTCACGGATCTCTTTAGTGTTTGCAAGTAGAAGATAACAATGCTTATTGTAGCTGTGCCTGTTACTCAGACATCCTCACCTCTGTTTTGTGTTTTATTTCCCTCCCCCCCAGTGAAAGACTACTTGCCATCTCCAAAGCTGACCCACAAGAGAGCATTCAGTGACGATGTCTCCCAGGTCAGCCCGGTCCTGGAGCCCAAAGCAATCCAAAGCCTGAAGCCAAAGAACGATCCCGTGTCCCGGTCTTCCCTCTGCATCAACGGGAGCCACGTTTACAGCGATGAGCCTGCACCAAAGAGCCCGGCGCCTGTCCCGCAGAGCTCTGCACCGCTGTCCATGCCCAGTGTCCCCAGACGGTCGGAGGAAGGCTTCAGCTTCACCCCCCTCCATCCCGACTCCCACGAGGTGCCTTGGGGGGTCAGCAACTTTGAGAGGACGCAGCAGAGAGACGAGCCCAGGTTCATCCCGTCTCCTCCCAGCTTAGCCTTGCAGGAAGAGCTCAAGGTCTCCACGAAAGCCGTCACTCTCAGTAATCATCTGGGCAGAGCCAAGATGGAAGAAAACAGTCGCTTAGAGAACAAGCCGACTCAAGCTGCAGCACCCATGGTCTTCTCCACAGAGACGACGAAGGACAAACAACCTGAGGAAACGAGGAAGGAAGACAAGAAAGCGAAGGGCGGCCTCTTCCACCATGGGGGCAACAAGAGCGACGCGGGGAGCAAAGGCCAGGGGGAGAAAGTGGGGCCCTCCCACGGCTCGTCCATCCACGCAGCGGCGGGGGGAGACGAGAGGAATAAACCCAGCGGCTGGTTCGGTTCAAAGGAGCCCAAAGAGTCCCCTCAGAAACCCAGGTCAGTGAAACGGGTGCGTTGACGTCTGGGCCCTTAACCAGCTGCCCCAGCCTCCCGTCTGCAGCGGCCGCGCTGGTAAACGCTCTCCAGCGTCGGCGGAGGGACCGGTCCCCGTTGCTCAGACAAGATGATAGCGGGGGAAATGCTTCCTTGGTTTTAAGTGTCTCGAAGGGAGGATGATTTTTTCCTGGATCCTCCCCCTGGCTTCTGCCACAAAACTTTGCCCTCCCGGGCCGTGTTCCCAGTTGTGGAAGGGAGGGATCCCCTTCATGGAGAGGGAGACCTTTCCCTCTGCAGAAGTGAGGCTCAGCGTGGTCATGCCAAGTGTTTCTGTGGCCCCGAAGTAAAGGATCATTATCCTTTAACTAGCTAAAAAAGACTTTCCTGGCAGTCAGTGTAGGATGTGGGACACAGTGACATGTAATCACATTTTTTTTTATTAACCCACCCCCTCTACATCGCTGGTCTGGCCTAGGGGTTCAATACTTTGGTAACTTGAGATATTAATATTTCTGAAGTAACTAATCCCAGCCCTGCGCTTTCCTCTTCCCATCCCACCCCAGCCTTCCCTTCTCCCAATTATGAATCTCTAATTGTCCTTGCTTTGTGTGATGATTCATCCCTCAGAGCCCTCAGCACTGCATTTGTGGCACACAAAACGTGGTGTTTGTGCTCTTTCTGTGCCGGCTTCATGGCGATGGTGCGTTACCCACGTCCATCTGGCAGCTGAGCTGGGGGTCCAGAGGTGGACCGAGAGCCCTGTACGGTGTTCTCATTGCTCAGTGAGAGGGAGAAAACGGGGTTAAAAGCAGCCAGAGAAAATAACTAGCAGTCGAGAGGTGGTTGAATCTACAGGGTTGATTTATTATGGGGATTTTCTAATCTGGGCTGACTTTAACCTAATTTATTAAGCAGAAGGATTTTAATTCAGTCTAAGCCTCTGTTAATGAGGAGGGCACTCATGGTTTATTCAGCCTAACCGCATTCCCACATGGGTTAAACTGCTTTGAAAGTGCTGCTCAGATGTGAGGGGTGGGGGGGGGAGCACATCGCTCTGTGTGGCTTCAGAACAGGGGCCGCCCCAAAAGTCTTCCTCACCCCACAAGAAGATGTCGTGCTCGCAGTGGTCTTTAAAGCCAACGGGAGGCAAAAAGGTGCTGCCACCCCCCTTCCCAAGGACCGAAGGCCACGTGTCCTTGTGCTGCGTGGCACCCACGGTCCCTCCGGAGGAGTGTGTGCTGTTGGTGTGGGGATGGGAGGAACTGGTGAGGCTCGGTCCTGCCCGCTGCCAGTGCTCCCAGCGGCACGGGCAGAGCTGGGGACACCGCGGCAGGCGGGGAGCAGCTCCCCCGAGTCACAAATATCCCACCTCACAGGGCCCCGGGGCTCTTTCCCCCGAAGCCTTTCATGGGGGAGCAAAGGCTGGAGGAGATGGGGAAGGGAAGGACCAGGCGAGGGGGCTGGGCTCTCGGTGCTCAAGCTGCTCCAGCAGCACGAGGGACAAACGTGAGGTCCTGGGACTGCTGTGGCTGCTTTCCTACCTACGAGTCTTCCATTTCCAGGGGACTTGAAATGCTGGTAGTTACTTGCTGTCACATCCCAGTGCAAGGTTTATTTCTGGATGAGACTGAAGAACTCTGGTCTCTGAATGCTGTGGTTGAGCCAGGACAGAATATTGCCGCTCAAGATTATTATTATTATTTTTTTTTTGCAATAATAAATTTGCTGTTTCATTTAAGTCCTAGAATAGAAAAGATACCATATGAAAAAAATCCTACTGTATTCAGGCAGTGACTCCACAAACAGCCCCAGCCAGCCAGCGAAGCACAACGACCCTCCGACGTTCACATGGGATGGGATGGGAAATTCCCTCTGCACCTCTGGGAGCCTTGCCCTCGGTAAACGGGTGGGAAACCCACGATTTCCTCCTGCTTTGCAGTTCTGGGGAGGAGGCGGACGCGAGCCGTGCGTTACAACCCGACGGGTGAGCCGTGCGTGCCCCGCTCCTCCGAGGGAGCAGTTTCTTCAAGGCAGGGAGGTCTGATGGGGCTGTCAGTCGGCTCCCCAGCGCCTGTAGCATCCGACCCAGTGGATAATCGCTGTGAGCCAAAGGGTTTTCACTCCGGTCTTTTTAATCTGCTTTTGGTGGTGACAGTTTAATTTCAAGCTAAGCTTTGCTTAGAGTCTGTTTGCTGCGCCTTGCTGAGGACCCCGTCCGCAGACGGCTGTCTTGTAAGGAGAAACTTGGATGAGCCATGCGACAGCAGCTCCTTCAGCTGGAATTTTTGCTCCCCAAAATAGGAATTGCTTTGAAGCAGCACGAGGTGGAGGGAACTAATTCACAGGGGTCCCTTTCGGGGTGTTTGTAAGCATCTGAATGGGCTTTGATTGCAGTTTGCAATTTGAAAATGGGAAGTAATGAGCTTCAACTGCAGCAGGGGAGGTTTAAGGTAGACATTAGGGGAAGTCTCCGGTGGAGGATGGTGAAGTGCTAGAGCTGCCTGGCTGCGAGGGGGAAGCCCAGCATCTGGGGCTTTGGGGCCCGGGGCAGATGAGCACCTTTGGGGAACGTTACAAGAAGCATTTGTCCTAGTGTCTGGCCCAGGCTGGGCGGCGGGAGATGGTGACTGCTCTCATTTGATGCAAAAACGGCCTCTCCATCATCGCCGGGAGACGGGCCGTCTCTAGTCTGGCTTCCCTGGCTCTTCATTTTTTCTGACCATTAATTACTATGTCATTACTTATTCCAATTATACAGAACTCTAACTTTTCTGATTTTATTCTCCTTCCTTATGCTGAATGACCTTGTGGACCATGCCACTGATTCAAGTCAAAGCTGTTGAAGAGCCTCCTAGGTCTTGGTGGTGTCAGGTCGAACGTACGGTCTGGTGCCATCTGTGTTGTGATAATCGAACGCGTATGATCTCTCAAGCGTGCAATTGAAAAATTGTTTTGTGGGGGTGTTCTGTGGATGGCCATCTGCATCTGGAGGAGCTATTCAGTTACCAGTATAAATTCCAGAGCTGAAGATGGATTAACCTTTGCTTTGTAAAGAGAACCAGGCTCTCAATCGAGCAGTTTTAAGTCTTGGACTTACCTGCAGAAAAGATTTTTTTTCCCTTCTGCTCTCCTGATTCTGGAAACTTTGGCTTTTTGGCTCCTATTCGCTGAGCAAACAGCGTCTTCTCACCTTTTTGCCCACCATGGATAGGTCACATTTCACCCAGAGCTGAACATGGGGAGAAAGCATCAAAAGCAGTTACCTTTTCAAGACCAAAAAGCTAGTTAAAAGGTTTGTAATTAAAAAAAAAGCTTTACAGTTAAGGTTTAAATTAGCCTGTAGCTAAGACAAGTTTAGCAGAGCTTGGCTTTAACCACTTGCTCTTGCAAAACCACACCCTTTCTAAAATAAGGAAGCTGCTGAATTTCAGCTGGTTTTAACTTCAGCTTTATAAAAAGCTGTTAGGGGCGGTTTTTGCTGAGCCACCAGCAAACGCACGCGAGCTGGCGCTGCCCTGCGAGCTGCAAGCCTGTCTGTAGCCTTACCCGGGGAGAGGCAGCACATTTCTGCCTTCAGCCCTCATTTAATCATGTTTGTTCGCTGACTCTTGATGGGGAAGCAGGTCCCAAAGGCTGTGCTTTTCAGCCCCGGCTTTGCTAATCCATGGCGCCCACCGGGCTTTGATACTGGCTTGAATGGAAACAGTAGGAAGATAGTGTTTGCTCTTTGGAAACCTGAATAAAAGACTGTTTTGGGTTTGTTGTTTTTGAAGGTTGTGTGGTCAAGGGTTGTATGTAAGGAAGAAGCTCAGCAGGTTTATTTGAGGCAAGGCCTGGGGCTAAAACAATTGGTTTAACTATTTTCAGGGTTTCCTACAGTGTTATCAGAGCTCCACAGGTCCTGCTTCCTGCAGCATGAATTGGGATTAGAAAATGAGGCTGCCTCTCATGCTTGGCAATAGGAAAAAAGAGAAATTGTGCTCTGTTGTAAAAATAATTTCATTAGTTTGCAGGTTAAAATCCCTTCCCTCTGTTGCTGCTTTCATGAGGGGGGGAAAATGTAAAATCACTCCCCACCTTGGTTGTCCCTCCTCTTTCCATAGTCCATACCCTTATAACCAGCAGTGAGGTGAAATATTGACTTGAATTCCTTACTCTTCATCACGTACTCCTAAAAAGTACATTTCCTCAATGCTGGAAATGGGAAGAAGGTGTTGAACGATTGGAGCACAGTCCTCGGACAGGCTGGCAAGGGCGGGGAGCGGCGGCAGGCGGACCAGGTGAGTTCGTCGGTGGGATTGAACACCGATGGGTGTGACAGCCCCCCTCCAAAGCACCAGGAGCAGGGGCTTGGGAGTGCAGAACCCGGGAAGCTGCAGAGTTTGATGAAGAGGAGCGCCGGCGGCGTGAGAGCCAGGGCGTCACGGGTAACGGCGATGGCGCGGACGAGTCCGTCGCGGGAGCTGTCAGGGTCACACCTCAGAGCTGCGCGTCTGCGTTGGATCACTCGCAGGATAAAAACGATCAGGGATGGATCAGGGATGTTTTCCCTCTGGCCCAAGGGGTGTGGGGAGCCTGCAAGGGTGAAAAATGGCTCTGAAAATGCCTCTGCCTTCGTTTTGCCTGCCGAACCTGCGTTTCCAGGGGAATGGACACGAAGCAGGACGGGGAGTCGGATCCTAACTGGCACCACCTCAGCCCTGGTGAGACAAACCTGCTTTGTAGCTGTCCAGGTAAAGCACAGCCCCACTCTCACCCCTGAAAGCGGGTATTGGGGTTAGCAGTTGGCATTTACTTAGGATCTGGGCAGTAGGGTCCTATCTCTGCTATTTTTTTTCATTCCCCTGGTTTTGGAGCAAATCTCTATCAAGCAGGACTTGCCCGTTTTAATTGGGATGATGAGCAGGTGAGGACTGAGGGGAGAGCAAAGTGGTTATTGCACAGATAGCTAAACCCCTTGCTTTCACCTCTGAAATTGCTATTTAAAAACAGCATTTGCATGTTCTCTTACTCCTTCACACTGGGGTTCCCACCCTGTACAAAAATGCCCCAGGCTGCCGTACCCATCTCTTCCCAACCTCATTCTGCACAAATCCTGCCGTGCCAGCCTCGCTCGTGCTGGTGGGAAGAAATTCCTGATCCCTGGCCAGGCTTTGAAGTCGCTGCCGGGGCCTCCGGCACCCCGGTCCTGCTGGTTTTCCAACCCTCCCCACCTTGCTCGCAGCGAGCCCCGGCTGCGTGCTTGTCTAGAGGGAAATGGTGCAAAAAAACAGCTCGTGAGCGGTCAGGTCACGGCACTCCCCTGGATCCAGCCCTCCTAGGAGGGATTTTGCACTTAGGCTTCAGCGCAGTTCTTAACCTTGGCACCCTTATGGTTGGATTTGAGCCCTGCCCTCCCCAAACTCCTGCTTTTTCAGCGCATGTGCTGTTTTCTTTATCTTCACGGTGCAGAGTTACCCACCCTCTTGCAGATGGGCTGCGATGGCTGGGGATGGTGCTCTGTGACTGCAGAGCTGGGGCGGCTGCCTTCAGCCTGAAATTCAGGCTGCGATCTGTAGGAAAAAAATCTCCCTGCATTGAACAAGCTGTTTCAAATATATTTTCCATCAGGGGGTTGCTCAGCAATATTTTTATTTTCCCTTTTTTTTTTTTTTTTTTCTGCTGAGAGGCTAAAACGCATCTGTGAAGTGCTGCCAAACAAATAAATGAGGGCAGAAAGGTACCCGCTATTTATTTTGGCTGGCGGAGCTGTGTGCTGGGGGTATGGGAGGAGGAGGAGGAGGGTGAGTCAGCTCTTCAATGCAGCAAAGATCTTTAATCAGGCTGCTACAAGCGGAGGTTTCCCTCTAGAGGAATACGCCGTCCTCGGCTCCTCGTTTCGCTGAGTGCTTCCAGCATCCTTCATCAGGGAGGGGAAAACGGGATTTTTTTGTGGGGTGGGTTATTCATGGGGAGAGCAGGTCCGCTGCCAGCCAAAACAGGGGCTGCTTGTCCTGAGGAAAGAGGTTGAACGGTGACGGTGCAATTGGTGCTTTGAAAACCCAGGGGAAAGGCGTGGGCTCTGCTCCCAGGAGTTTGCGGCTGAGAGCGGTTTGTGCAGCCCCTGAGCAAGGCCTGGTGGGTCCCAGCAGGAATGGGGACGGGCAGTGAACAGAAAACCTCAGTAGGGGAGTTTTGGAGGAGGAAAACCGGAATCTGACCAAAAAAAAACCCCAAAAGACAGATTTAAGTTCTGTTTTTATATCTTTAGCTTGGCTTGGGCTGCACGTGTTGCAGGAGGATGATACGGGCCCGCTGCCTGGCAGGGGGGGCAGATTTGGGTCCTCCTGCGCCAGAGCCAGAAGGTACATCACTTCTGGTTTCCTTCCCTCCAAGAAAAGATTCATGTTCACCCACCTTGTTTCCCAGGCAAAGCGCAACCTTCGTTTTGCTGCATGCTGACACTGGTGTGTAGGACACGACGGGCGTGGGGCGGTCAGGGCTTGCCAAAAGCACCCTCCCGATTCCTGGTAGCCCAGACTCACAGCAGCTCAGGGCTGGGACCAGCTGGCTGGTGTGGCCAAGAGCCGCTTTTTGCAGCAGGTCCAGCACCCCGTGAGCCCCGTCGTGACTTGGGGAAGGAAGACAGGGTCATCTTGGGTGGGTTTGGAGAGACCTTGAAGCTGTTGCTCCGTCTGTGCGGGCGAGGATCGGTGCAATTTGGGGCACTGCCCGTCGTGTCTGCCTGGGCGAGGGGCTGCTCTGGCATCAGCCATCCCCTGGGGTAGCAACTTCAACCACTCAGTCTTCTGGCAGCTGTGAAGGTCGTTAGCAGCGAGCACTCATTAGGAGCCTGTAGCTGATTAATGCTCTGTGGCCATTTAGTGCTAGAGCCCAGCAGAGCTGGCTGGATCAGGCTTCGGTTGCTCTTACTCAGCACTAAATGCTGTTTAGGCAGAACCACAAATGAGTGATCTTAATCTGGACCAAAAACATTAACGTGCCAGCGAGAAGCAGCGATCGCAGGAGCAAACAGGGGTCGGGCAGCGGCGTGCGGCGTTTGCAGCCGCCCTGAGATCGCGGTGTTTTAGGTTGGACCTTGCCACCCTCCCTTTCCAGCTGGAAAGGAAAATTTCCCATGTTTTGCCCTGTTCCATCACTGATAAAACCCGTTGGTGGATCTTTTGAACTCACCCAGCTGGACTTTGGGTCATAGGTAGCTGTGCTGCTTTTCTGGAGAGCTTAAATTTGAGGGTGATTAGGGAAAAAAGGGGTCCATTTGCAGCAAGTGGCAGCCAGCAGGAGCCTGTGTTCCAGCTTATGTGTTCAGCAGCCGCAAATATTTTGTCTGCACCTTCTGCATTCAGAAAACCAGAAGAATGGAGGGACTTTCAGTACGAGCCGTGGCCTCGAGACCTTGGGATGGCAAACACCAAAGAGAGTTGGGGAGAGATGGGCTGCCCCGTCTCCTTGTGCAAATGCTTCTCCCATCGCTTCTCTTGGAGGTTTTTTTGGGTTCACTGAGAGCTCAAAACACCCGGGAAGAGCTGGGCTGCCCAGTTACATTCCGTGGAGGTGCGTGCCCGGCTGCCCACAGTGGGTTTTCCACCCGTGGGGACGTGGAGGTGCGGCAGAGTGCGGCCGGGCTGTACGGGGACAGGGGTGGGCACCTGCGCCACCGGCACCACTGCTGCTTAGTGACAGCAGGAGAGGGCACCCACGAGCTGTCTCTGCCCGCAGCACCAAGGGGGCTGCAGGTTTGAGTGGAAATGAAGGTTTCGGGGCTTTTTTTTTTTTTTTTTTTTGTGCCTGAATTCCTCGTTCTGCTAAGTGGTATCTGGCGTAGTGTCTGATGGGTGCTGGAGTTGAGCCCATTGTGCCTGGCTGCTTTGCTGTGTGTGTTGCCTCCCTAAAACCCAGGACTTTGGTGGCATTGATTGCATAAATAGGCACCTTTCCCAGGTAGCTGCTCCAAGGACGGTGCATGAGGTGGGGTTTGAAGCTGCCAGGAGTGGGGAGAAGTGGGTGCTGCAGTGCACGTGGGGCTCCTGCCCATCCGTGCATCGCTTGTGGTCCGAGGTGCGCCGCCGGCGCATAACCCTGCCAGCTTTAAAAGCAACCAATGCTGACTGCACCTTCACACATCGTTAACTTTTGCCTCCAGATGGCATTTCTGCTCTTTAAAACGTGTCTGAGGCTTTTTGTGACATCCGTAACAACAGATGGAAAGAGTTGTCCAAGCAACTTTGCCATTTGACAGCGCGTTGACCGTGATCTTCCAGTGCTGCCTGTGATTCCTACCAGCAGCTCGGGGGAGACAGGGAAATACCGTGATGTAGCCCCAGGGCTTGACATACCCTGTGCGTATTGGCAAAGCAATTACTTTATTCATTCCTCATTAAGTTTTGATATGCCCAGTGCTGGCTAATCAATGTCTGTATTTCTCCCGAACCACAACTGGGGGGTCTCTTTGAAGCTCGGCTGTCGTGGCTGATGCAGAAGGAAGTAATCCTGCTGGCTGGGTTACAGGGACAGCACGGCCGCATGTGCCGGGGGTGGGTGCCCTCATCCTGGGGACGGGGTCACTCCTGACCGGGGTGAGTCGAGGGGACGAGGGCTCAGGAGGAGGGAGTGCGACAGTCGGAGCAACGGTTGGGACGCCGGGTGTCCACGCCGCACTCTTTTGTGCTGGGGAAAACCTTCAAGACGGCCAGCAAGTCTTCCTTGGGGGTGGTGATGCTCGTTGCTGGAGGAGTTCCCAAAGGAAGATGAATGAAATCCCAAAGAAAGGTCAGTGTAGTCCCTCTTGAAAAGACAGCAAAGAACTGGCCGCCTGGCTCGGGGTGGGGGGGAGGCGCAGGTGGAGACTGACAGCCTGAATTTGAGATGTGCCGAATCCCTTCCTCCTCCTTGGGGTCCCCCATGGGGGTTCGGGCATTTCGGGACCTCAGGCCAGAAGCGAGGGGACAAAGGGCGTGTGGAGAGACCGGGCAGAGTCAAGAGCGGAGCCAGGGCCGCGTCCTGGCCACGTGCTCCCTCCTGCTGGGCTCCCGTTCTTCGGCCGCCCGCAGCCGCGCCACCCTCCCGCCCTCACGTCCGCTCTCGTCGTGATACGTTGCCAAACAAGTTACTGGGGTGAACTGGGAAAGGACTCACTCCTGCGTGCTCTCGCTGGCTCATGTCATCCTGATCCAAGCGCCCAGGCCGGCTCCTTGTGCGCAGCCTGCCCTTGGTACGCACCAGCGGCGGGGACAAAAAAAAAAAAAAAATAAAATGAGCTGAGGCCTTGGGCCGCAGGAGGTGGGCAAAACCCCTCAGGCTGCTGAGTCTTAGGGCTTGGTAAGGCAGAAGAGGGAAATTCGGAGGACTGTTCTAGAAGAAGGGCTGCCCTTTCCTTTTTGTCGTGCATGCCCTTTCCACGCCTTGACTCCATAATCATTGCTCTGCCTAACAAGAGAGACGAGTGTGTATTTGATCATTGCATTGCTTTGAACCGGAGCGTTTGTAGTGTGTGTGGTGTATGCTTGCAGCACTGTCACAGCATTAACCAGGGAGGACTGTTTTGTCTTCCCTCCACAGCCTGGAAGTGTCTCCTCAGGTAGAAACCAGCTCAGACGCTCCTTCTCATTTTCCTCCCTGCTCCCCTGCCCAGTTTCCTCCTGCCGCTGTAGCCCATCTCGCTAGCATGCCAAGCGCTAACCTCTCTCCCGCTCTTGGAGACAGCCAGTCTGGATGCTTGTCCCCTACCAACCCATTCCTCAACTCCCTGCAGAGCAATCCTTTCTTTGAGGACCTCCTCGCTGACCAGGTACTAAATTCTCCTTCACCTACTCACTTTTTCTCTAGTTTCCCGTCTGGGCCGCATGCTTCAACAGAGGTCGCTGGGAACTTTTATTCCTCTGAGGATTGCAGTCCCTCTGCCTCCCTAAGACCTAAAGACCCAGAGGGGGAGTCTCCAGCCAAAAGCGTTTGCGTCCCCGTTCCAGAAACTACTCCCCCATCACAAGGAGACCTTCCTCCTCCGGATGAGAAACCCGCCGTCCCTCCTCCCCTCACGGAGTGGGACGATACCTTCGATGCCTTTGCGACCAGCAGGCTCAAACCAGAACTGAAGAAGGAAAACTTCTTCGCTTCGGTGGCGGCGGAGGGCATGGCTTTCATCGACGATCCCGATGCGGCCAGCCCGACGGAAAGATCAGGCGAGGCGGCTCGCGAGAAGGGGACAAAGGTATTTGAAAAGGCCGATTCGCAAACCGGCGGTGAAATGCCCACAGCTCTACGGTCTTGGACAAATTTCTCTGGTTTAGACGTGGGGGCGAACTTGGTGAGCACAACCCAGGAAGCGACCGTGATAGAGGATGTACTGAGCCCGGTGTCTGCGGGGTCGATGGGAAGGAGGAGGAAAAGCAGCACGCCTACGGTTTGGACAGCCGCGTTTGCATCGGGAAATCCAGGGGAAAAAGAGGCTTCGACACCACCAAGTGCCGAAAATAGCGCTAGGGAGGGAGGGGACGGTAACGAGGAGGAACCTTCTAGCGCAGGGACAAATGGGTGGATGACCATAGCCACCGAAACCGCTCCTGACCTGACAGAGAGCACCCAGAGCGTGGCTGAGCAGGAGCGCGTGGGTCAGGAGAGCACGTTGGGCCGGCGGCCGGCCTTCCTCAGCCAAGGCCCCTTCGGAGCAAAAAGCGGCCCTCGCGCCGCCGCTTGCGTGTCGCCCTTGAGCAGCACCTTCGCCCCCGACACCCTGCCAGGCAGCAACGTGGCAGCCGTGCCCCCGCGGGCGCTGGCAGATGGGGCAGCTCGACTGTTCCCCGTGACCCCCGAGCCGGGGACGGAACCTCAGGGCGCCGGTAGCGAGGACGAAACGTTCGACGTACGGACTTCGGTCTACCGGCTCCGGGCTAGCATGCGGCTGGAGGCCAGCGAAAGCGGCGTGAAACTCAGCTCCGACGTTCGCGAGAGGCACGTCGTCCTCTCTCCGTGGACGGGCACCCGAGAGAGGGAGGAGACGGTGGGCGGCTTGGCCCCGCCGCCCCCTCCCAAACCTCCGAGGTGGTTCGCAGCCGCGGGCGGCGGAGGGGACGGCGAGGAGGAGGAGGAGGAGGAGGAGGATGCTCGCGACCTGCAGCCCAGGCAGCGAGGCAGCGAGGAGCGAGGGGAAGGCGCGGAGGGCGCGAAGGAGGACGGGGAGCTGCCAGGGAGCCGTCTGAGCAGCCAGCCCTCTGTCCCGGCGTCTCCCAGCCCGCCCACACTGGGAGTGGATGCAGCTGAAGCCGGGAGCGGGTTCCCCGTCTCCGAGGACGCTGAATCTGCCGCTGCGGGCTCGGCAGCTGATTTGGAGGCGAGAGCCAGCGAGCTGGCAAAAGGAAACACCTCTCTGGGGGAAGACCGGTCGGAGATGAATGAGATGGATGCAGCTGAGCAGTTTGAGATTTGCCAAGCCAAGTTGTCCGTAGATGGATTAGGCCAGTCGGGTGCTGAGGAGAGCTGGAGCCAGCCAGGTTTATCTCCTCTGATGGGGGCCGCAGACGGTGCCAACTGGGAGGTGGCCTCCAAACAGGAGCCATTCCCTGAGGAGCTCAGTACGTCAGGACTAAATCCACCTTCCAAGCTAGACCTGGCCCAGGCGGAAATCTTCTGGACGGCTCTGGAAGAGCAGGAGGAAGCCGGTCACGCCGCGGGTCTCGGCCTGATGGCGCGACCCCAAAGGTTAGCGTGTGGGGAGAGTCCATCCCAGCCGGAGCCGGTGTGGGGTGATGGTGAGGGGCAGCACGGGCCAGCGGCCGGCCCCGCTGGGCTAGCAGGAGGCCAGCCTGAGCCTGGCACCCCCGTGGCAGTGGCCGGCTTTACCCGGGAGGCTGAGCAGGGCAGATCCCCCGCCAGCGAGCCCGAGGGGCCGCGGCGCCGATGCTCGGCAGACAGCAGGATAGACTTCAAGAGAGCTGATTTCTGGAAGCCAGATAGGGCGGAGGAGAGGGATGAGCAGGACGCTTCAGCCCCGAGAAATCCCTTTGCTCCGGCACTCAGCCCGAGTGCCCCAAACAACCCCTTTGTGGAGAAGCCACCAGAGCCCCTCCCTGTTCAAGCTGTGCTGCCCGAAAAGCTTGGCCAGGGAAGCTTCAGCTTCACCAGCCTCCACGAGGAAGCCCTTGGGCAAGGCTTCCAACCCACTAACCTCCCCGGAAACCCGCTAGGCGAGCCTCCTTTCCTGCATGACAGCCAGCCCTTGGCCTTCTCCACCCCTTTCCTCGTGGCTGCAACTAACCCTAAACAGTTTGATTTCCCTTCCCCTGTCGCGTGCCCCACGAGCAGCGGGGTCCCTGCCGCGACCAGCCGCGCAGCCGCCCAGCCCTGCCCTTTGCCGCAGTCCGGTGACACGCAAGCTTCAGCGCTCGTGGTTTTGCCCAGGGAGACACAGCCAGCTGAGAAGCCCTTTTTCCAGCAGACAACCAGGTGAGCACTCCGGGGAAGGCGAAGGGTGTGTTATTTGGTAGAGGTTGAACCCTGTCTCCCTTCTGCTCTTAGCGGGGGCGGGGGGGGCCAGTAAGTGCACCCCGGCTCGGTGTCAGCAGCTCACGGTTGCGCTGACTCCAAGGAGGCCTCTCTACGTGTCGCTGCGGGTCCTCTCTCCCTCACCTTCCCCCGATCCCTGAGAGTCCAGCCTGAAGAGTTTGAGGCCTTGGCTTTCTCGGATCACGGTGGGGAATGGCCACTGGTGTCCTGCGTTTGTCCTAAACGAGGGCAAACGGTTTGACGCATCCAAGACCTGCCCCAGCTGAAAATTCGGCCCCCGGCAGAACTGCATCCGCATTTCACCCAGTGCTAATTTTGTCTCCATCATCTTCCCTGTGCTTGCAAAATAGGTGCCTTTTCCATCTCTGCCAGGAGAGTTTCCAGCTGTTGATGCTCTCATGAGTTCCTTCACGGCATGTGCACAGCTACTGCCCCTTCCCTTTTCATTAATTCACCTTTGGTTTCTTTCCTTTTGAAATGACCGTCAGGTACTAAACCCCTTCTTCTCTCCATAGCCAAAAAAAAAAAAAAACCCAAAGGTAGTTTCACCAAGGGGGGTAGCAAAATGCAGTTCTCCCCTCCCTCCTGCCGAGGTGCCCATTGGTTATAAAGCAAGTGACACTTGAGGATAACAGGAACGGGAAGGGGGGGACCGTGGTGGTGCATCAGAGGAAAGAAGGGGCTGTTCCTCCTCCCAGGTGAGCCTTGGGCTTGTAGAAATGCTGTGAAGCAGAGAAAGATGCAGAGTTTTGGGTGTGGGATTCTTGCTCTACGTCCTCCAGTTCATCTAGTTTTCCTGGTAGCCCAGGTCCCCTGCTCTGCCTGGGCAGGAGAAGATGGTCATGGGCTCTGTCTGCCCAGAGTGTCAAGGATTGAGCTCTTACGGTTTACATGGGAACGTGGGTCTTCTAGCAGTGATTTATTTGATCAGCCTCACTTCTGCGACAGAAGGAAAATGGAGCTTCGTGGGGGCACTGAAATGATAAAATCCCATCTGGCCCAAGAGTAATATTGGTCATGGCCCTGGGGACAGAGAGGGCAGGAGGACGGGGACAGCAGAACTTAGCTGGGCTCCAGCCCTTCTGCGTGGGGATCCCTCCTTGGCTCGAGCGTGGGTTTGACGTGCAAAAATGACCTTGGGAGCAAAGACCAGCAAGAGATGGTCTGTCAGCTGATTTTTATTTTTACTTTATTGATGCCAGATCCTCAAATCATTCTTAATTGGATTATTCATCCTCCAGCAGGTAACTTTGGTCAATATTTGCAGATAGAGGAGGTACAGAAAACCTCCTGAATTTTGTTGACGTTTGTTACATCTCATGGAAAGAGAAGTGTCCTGCGGTCCCAAAGGGTAAAATTAGGCAATGAGAGAAGTGTAGTCCCAGAGCTCTCTTTGTGAACAGTACATGCTCAGAGTCATCTTTGGGCTTGACTGCATGTCCATCCACTGGCTCGTGGGAGGAAAGTAGGCTTGGACTTAAGAGCTGGTCGTCATGTCAGTGCTGGCTTCTGTCCAGATACGCATCTGAGAAGTCCTTGAACAGCTCGACTCTGGTTTCAGTACCTGTAAAACGTGGATGTTTGGGATACTTGCTGCTGTGATTGAAGAAGCTCTGAAGAGTTGCCGAGGTCTCTGTGGAAGGCTCTGAGGTTCTGCACTGCTTTATCAGATCGGGGAGAAGCGACTAATTGTCACAGGGGGAGAGAGGCAAGGTGGAAAAGGCCCTTTTCTGAGTCCCTGTGGCAATGCTTGCCTTTCTTAGAATCATTTCTTGTTAGGATGGTCAGTGGCACGTAGACGGAGAAAAGATATGGTAGAAAAAAGGTGGAAGGGAAAAGGAAAGAGTTCAGACTTAGAACAGGCATTAAGGCTTAGCTGGGACAAACGTGTGTTTCTCTTCCATCAGATAAGTGGTAGCTGGTGTAGATTGTTGAGAGTCTGCTGCGCTGGGGTTACGTGCCCTCCTCGGGAGGGATGGAAACTGGGTGTGGGGTCCCATGTCCTCTTCCCAGGTGGCCAGAGTGGCTCTTTGTTGGTCACCTTGTTCAAGATGGCAAGTCAAGTGGTAGACTTGCGTCTCGGAGCGACACCAGCACCTCCCGCCCAGTCTGGCTGGGGCACGGCCTGGTCACAGCGAGCTGGGAGGCTGTGCCCTCCTGGAACAGCTTCTTGTGTGCCGGATCCGAAGATGGAGCTGGTAGGAATTGCAAATCCAGAAGAGCACGTGTTGGGATCGCGTTCGCAGCTCCTTCCCCGCAAAACTGTTCGCGCTGGTGTGAGGTGGGTGCTCGGAGCATGGGTTGCAACACTCAGGACCTTTCCGCTCTTTGGGGAAGGGTGGGATGGTGCCTTCACTGCAGGGAAGGTGTCTCTGGTCACATCCCCCGGTGCAGGGAGGACCTGAAGGACAGCCCATGACGGTGCTCTGGGGACTCCGCTCGGACTCCTGGGAGGAGCCCAGCAGCCGCACAGCTCCTTACCCATCATTGGGGAACTCGGATGTGTGGCCACTGCAGCATTTCATGGCACTTGGGGGGGGGGGTGGGGGGGGGTGGGGTGGGGGTGACAGGATTGGGGACATCGCAGGTACCGAGGTGGCGTCGGCACACGGTGCTTTGTGCTTTCCCAGTGTCAGGAGTGCAGCAGAATCGTCCTCTTCTGAAAACGAGGGTTTGGATTAAATTCACGCGTCGGTCTGTGATCTGACCGTGTTCCTCGTGGAGCCCTTGGAGCGCGGAGGGTGGCTTGTCACATCTGCAGATACACCTGGGAGGAGAGCTGCTGATCCCGAGTTCAGTCATTCCCTTTCCTCCCAGAGACCCTTTCTCTGCGGAGTCCTGGCCCTCAGGTCCTGTGTGCTGCACCTTACTCACGAGAGACTGATTTCCTCAGATCTGTTGTCTTGTTCTCTGTGAGAAGCATTTTAATGGGTTGATGAAGACTTCATTTCCGAGTTGCTGTAGGGGAATCCCCCAGTTTGTGCTCAGCGGTGACAGAATCCCCCAGTTTTTCACCGTGCTCAGCAGTGACCTCAGGAGCATGGGTGCAAGCTGTGCCGTGACACAGCAAGGCTTACTCAGAGAGAGGGGCCAGGGCTGTGCCACTGTCCTCCTGAGATGTTTCATCTTGAACGTGTTAAGCTTCCTCGTAGACTGACATCCATTCGGAGATGCAGAACTGGATTAGACAGGCTGTTGGTGGGAGCAACTGCTCTCAAGTTCACATTCATCGACCGGTGGGTGGAAACGGGTCCAACTTCTCATCAGATCCATCAGGACTTCAGATGTTGCTGTGAAGTGTGAAGCAACCTCTGCTCTCGTGGAAGTACCCGATGCCAACCGTCGCGGTGCAGGACGCAGGTGGAGCCATGTCTCCTGCTTTTGGATCCTCTCAGAAAGACAAACGGAGGGGGCAGAGCCTCTGCTTTGCTCAGCAGGAGCCCTGCACACACTACCCTCTCGGCGGGAAAGAATGGGATGATGGTTTTTTAAAAAACCTTTTCCAGTTCTGCAGAAATTAATGTGTTCCCACTGGCAATGGGGCTGAAAGCCGCCCGAGACCAGACGTGCAACGGGAAATGTCCCTCTGCTTTCAAAATCCATCCAAGCTATCCCACGACAGTTGCTGGTTATCGTTCAAGTTTGGTTCCAAAGAGGTCCGTCCCCTTCAGAGGTTTAAAGTGTTCGTGCTGGCCAGCCAGTGCCCTGCAGAGCTCTTGCTGAGGGGTGACGGAGTTGGAGCTGTACTCTGGCCTTAGTCTCTGTGCTGGCTGTGGGGACGCGTGAGGCCACGGTGGGGCTGCTTTACCTTCAGATCTGGCTGTGATGAGCAGGTCTGGCGGCTCCCTGGCCGCTCTCCTTCCCAGACACTGTTTTGAGGAACAGTAGAAGTCCAGCAGCGGTAGCAGAGCTGCCTTCCCCAGATCCTACAGCGAACCCCACTCACTTTGGGCTAGGAAGGAGGCCAGCAGTGGTTCAAGCAAGCAAAGTCATTACTTCTGTTTTTGAAAGGACCTGGGGAATGACCAATTTTTCGGGATCTGCGCACAGCCTCTGGCCTGGTTCCCCCTCACCCCATCTTAGGTCGTAACAAACGGACAACCTCTGGGCCGGTTGTAACGCGGCATCGGGGTGTTTGCAGCTCTGCTGGTGAAGGGTTTAGTCCAGGGTTGGAGAGTGCTTGAGGCTGATGTGCAGAACGGTGACTTCTCCAATCCCTGGCGCTGTCAGTGGGCTCCCACTCAGGTTCGTGGGATCCCTCTCCACCCTTTCAAGCTGTCTGGGATCCCTGGGCTCTGTGCCCGTGCTTGGACAGCTCTGACAAAGGGTGTTGGTCCTTTGGCTTGTTGGAGCCGGTCAGTGGCTACCATTGCTGTCCTCTCCTAGCAGCTGGGTGACAGGAGGCGTCATCGTGGTGGAAGAGGATTTCTGGACGTGCCCTCTCAGCACGGTGGGGAGACTGCTTGGTACATCCTGATCCCATCGCCACTGACAAGGCACGAGGACACCAGCCTGGAGGACTTGGGCCGTCCCACCTGATGCCTTACGTGGTGCTGCCTTGGTCCCAGCCTCCCCCGCCAGCTCTGACCTGGAACGGGCTCGAAAGCCGCCCGTTCTGCTTTCGAAATGGGAATAAAGCACAGTCGAGCGGTTACAGCACCAGCCGGATTGGATCCTGACTCACAGCAGTTGGGATCATCACCCTTCGCGGGGTGGCTGCTTCATCTGATGAGTGCGGAGGCTTTGTGGAGCTCCCAGGTAGATTTTTACGAGCTTTTCGTCTCAAGTGTGGTGCACAGGGTCTGCCTGTTCCTTGCAGGAAGGTGGTAGGTAGCATCAGGTCACTTCTCTTTCCATCACGCTGAAAAGCAAATGTACTTTGTTTAAGCCCAGAAACAATCTTTTGGGTGAAGAGTGAGGGAAAAATAAATGAAAACTTAATTCCTTCCTAACTGACAGAGAAGGTTCATTCAGAAACGCTCTCCTCACCCTCCCTTTTGGCTAGTGGAGGGGGGGACAGATTCTGTGGTGTCGTCCAGGCAGGGAAAGGCCAGTTGTTGGGCTGCGGCAGTGCAGGAACTGACGCACCGTGCGTGGTGCAGGAGCATCCCTGAAGCATCAGTGGTGACCCCAGACACTAATCTGGGGGCTCCTGGGCAGCAGAATGCCCCTCCGGGCTGTGGATATAGCAGCAGCCTCCGATTACATCGGACCTGGGTTAAATTTCCCCAGCTGCCTCAACGCTTGGCAGCTGGGAGTTTTGACCCACAGCTCTCCGTGGGCTCAGGGATCTGTTCCGTATCTCATCCGGACACGTGTCCTGGGGCTCCTTGCCTCATTTCTGGGTGGAAACGGTGCTGGAGAGCTCTGTGGGCTGCCTGCTCTGCAGGACGCTGGCTCTCCTCTCAGCAGGCGAGCTTTGAGCAGCACCGACCCAGAGGATTCAGCTGACTAAATTTGCTAAGTGGGTCCCATCCTCATAAAAAAACATAGGGAGAGCCAGCAGCGTCGCTCCCCAGCTCGGGAGGGTGTTAACTGTCCGACCTCCTTGTTCTCCTTAGTCCTCACCCAGTGAAACCCATCAGCGCTGCAGTGCAGGAGGTCTCCGGTGAGAAGAAGCAGCAGCACAGGTCCAGCCTGACGACTGCTCTGAGCAACGGCCTGGAGAAGCTGAAGACAGTCACCACGAGCAGCGTCCAGCCTGTGGCCCCGTCCTCTCACCCGGAGAAAACGGACTCGAAGAAGTTAAAGGTAGGAACCTACCCCTGAGGTGAGAGCTGCGTTCCCGCCTGCTCGGGGTGTTGTAGAGTTGGTGACGGAGGTGCGGAGAACTGGTGGTGGAGGAGGTGGAACAAGGTCCTGCCACAGTGTGTAGTAACCCTGACGTCCTTGATCCTGGTTGCCCAGACTCCCTTTCCTCCACGACCTGATCTCTGGACCTTCTCACCTCGTCCTTCTTCCCCCGTTGCTTGGGGGTTTATTATACACCGGTTTGGGGTTTTATTGTATACTGAGTGAATGCCTGGTTATCCGCAAGCCATGAAAGGTGGAGGATGTTTATGTTGTGGGTTACGAGCATCTCAGCTTTTCTGGGATGAGGTCTGTCTGGGTCCTGCCTCCCCTGTGCTGCTTCCGCCTGTTTGGCAGCCCCAGCTCTGCTGGGAGACTTGACTCCTCTGGGGCTCTCATCCTCTAGGACCTCCAGAAGGGTTTTTCAGCTCTTAATTCTCTTCTGCCATCACCCAGGCCTGCTGCTGGAGGACTGGGAAAGGGGGAAGCCCCAGAAGGGGGGAGTAGCTAGTGTCAGGCCTCATTATTCCCCACTAATGGGCCCTGCTGCGCCCACACCCTTAGTTCTTAATTGTTGGGGGGAGAGAGATTTGACAGAGTCTTTGAGGAAACCCTGCTGAGTGATTCACTCAGCCGGTAGAAATGCTCCCTGGTCACCTCTGGCCATATGGAGGAGGCTGCATCGGCCTGGATGTCTGGGCAGCTGATCTGTCTGCAGTATTTTTGGGTGTCTGCGTGGCACACGGGAAAGGCGCTCTGTAAAGACGGGGCGTGGTAGCTGCAGAGTGTCTCGGGCTCGTCAGCTCAGAGGTGGAAAGAAGGCAGACAGAGAAAACAGGATTGCTTTGGTTGTTGCCGCATCTTGCGAACGCTAACGGGAGCAGCAGTTTTCATTTGACTTGCTGAATGTTCCTCTTGGTTTCCACCACAGGATCCCACTGTACAGGACCAGTCAGCCAAATATTATCACTTGACCCACGATGAACTCATCCAGCTCCTGCTGCAGAGAGAGAAGGAGCTGAGCAAGAAGGAGGAACACATCCATGAACTGGAAAACTACATCGACCAACTGCTGGTGCGCATCATGGAAGAGTCTCCCACGCTCCTCCAGATCCCGCTGGGGGAAACCAACACCAAATAACCTCTCCCCAGAGACCAGCATCACTTGCGTAGAGCACTCCTCCAGCAAAAACACGCTGCAAACATCCCTGCACTCCCCCCCAACCTCTTACAAGAAGATCTCCAGCGGCTTCTGTTCACAGAGTTTAGCAGGAAAGGTTATCTGCTCCTTCCCAGCCCAAGCTTATCCCAGCTCTGGCTCCGGGGAACTTTAGGGTGATGGGCTGCTCTCCACCCTATGGGGAGGAGCAGAGCCCTCCACGGGAGGCAGATGCCTCCGTGGGTTCCTGTTGTTGTGACCGAGTGGCATCTCCTCAGGCACTCATCCTGCCCACGCTTTAAGTGGTCCGTGGACATCTGAGAGCTGGAAACCAACCACTTCCCCCTGCGACCGCCGCTCTTCTGCCCACGCTCTGCCACGTCTTTTTTTCTCCGAAGTGGTGTACCCTGCCTGGTGGATGGTGTTTAACTGGTTGATGATATCAGGGATGCTTAAACTCCGTTAGGCTCTACCAGCACGTTACTGTCCGTTGAGCCTGCTCGGAGGGCAGCCAGGGGAAGGGGCTGCTGTTGGATGCCTCTTTCCCTTCCTGCCCCACATGTTGTACCCCCAAACGAAGGGCCTCCGTCTGAAGAGCCAGCTCCAAGTTGTGCCCAGTCCCTGACGGCGTGGGAGACGCTACCCAAAGCGACAGCGCTGGGGTTGGAGGCCAAAAAGGTCTCAAGCCGACCTGGCTGCGCGCGGTGCCCGATGCCTTCGCTGCCTGCTTGCGGAGTCGTGGTGCTGCCTCGGTTACCCAGCTCAAAACGGAGCTCGCCGTGCAGGAGAAGGGCCAGTGATGGATTCGTGCACCGTCGGGACTGCAGGAGATCTTCTCGCACGCCTCCCAACCCATCACCGGGCTGGCCGGCGCCGCTGTGCCCTCGGGGGGGGGGACTCCTGGATCTATAAACCGCAGCTGAATTTTCTCCTCAGCATTACACCCCTCCTTTCCCCCGCGCCCACGGGGATTGCTTTCCGCTGGCGGCTTCTCCCCCCACCGCTGACTTCTCCCCCCACCGTTGACTTTGCATCTTTCTCCACGCAACAGGAAAACACCGTCGGGACCGCAAGCTCGTGGGTCTGACTCGTGGGCCACCTCTATGCATGACATCCCGCTAGCTCAGGCACCCCCCTCAAACGCTCTCTGCCAAAGCTACCGATCCAAGAATCGCCGCAGACCCCCGTCGCGCCGGTATTGGTACCAAACCCCGCTCGAATTACCGCATCTACACGCCAGCGCCAGGTCTCTGGCAGCCTGGGCTCACCCTGAGGTGCTGTAGGCCACCTCTCTTGGGAGCCGAGTGCTTCTCGCTGTTGAGTGACCACCCAGAGGCCTCCGATTTACGTGGTTGAACAACCGTCGAGGACGGTGGCCTGAGGCCACTGATTTGGAGATGCTGTAAAAAGTTAGAGAAAGGTTGTTGCTCCCTCTCTCCTTCCGCTAGGATTTTGGTTAGAGGAGGTGCCTGTGCGGGCGGAGGGGTCGGTTGGCACGGGATTTGAGCTGTCTTCACATGTAAGGCATCTTCTCTCTCTCCTGTAGATCTCCCAGAGTTACTGGATTCTTTATAAACCTTCATATTCTTTTCTCCTTACCTGCTTCAATGTATACCATGACTTCGAAAAACCGTGCCTTTTGCAATAGGACAGTAGCAGTTTCCTGCCAAAAAAAAAAAAAAAAAAAAAAAAAAAAAAGCTCTGAAACGCGATTCTCAGTTCAACACAACCCAGGCTGGGCACCTTTCTCTTCTGTTCTCCTGCTAATCTGAACTTGGGGAGTTTTATCTTTAAGCGCAGAGAGCGGAGCCTTCCCTCCCCTGCGTGCAGGTTTGCTTTTGGTCTCTGGCAGGAGCTGTGCACGGGCAGCTCGCGTGACGTGGGAGGTAGAGAGATGAAGAGGTGACGCCGGGGGCAGAGCGGGCCAAATATTCCAAGACAAAATACAGTATTGGGTCGTGCTCGGAGTCAGGGTAAGAGCTACCAGGAGGAAAGGAGATTTGGTGTTGCTGTCATTGACAACGTTTGGTTGTATCTAGCCTGTAGCCCTCCGTCCTAGAGGAGGATTTGCTCCCTGGGAAGACACCAGCCACGAGCCGTTCGTTCCTACCTGCCTTCGGCCCTAGGAGGAACCAATCTGGGGCTTCACACTTCTCTACCTGCGTCTTTATGTTCCTCCTCCTCCTGTGTGTCTCGGGTGCGGGGACTTCGTTTCTGGTTTAAGACGTGAGGGTCTGAGGGGAAGGCGTTTCTCCCGTTTTAGAAAGTACCAGAAACCTCTTTCTGCCTATATAATCAAAAATTCCCGCGGCCTGAGGACCGGGTTCCCTTTCTGGGTGCCTGTCTCTCGTGGAGGAGCTCTCCCTTTTACCTGAAAGCGGGCCGGGAGGGGTTGTGGGCAGCTAGAAAGCAGTCCAGCGGGCCGGGAGAAGGAGCAGCCTTACCTCGGGTCGGCGTTGGTGAGGGGGGAGGCGGAGAGCCGAAATCTCACACCGGAGCCAGGGGCCCGGGCTGGCTCTCCGCTCCCTGAAAACCAGCTTCTTCCTGGGACTTCTCCCCTGGCAGCGAGAGGTGTTGTAGGTGCTCCCCACACACAAGTGCCAATGTTTATAAGGATCTTGCTGCACCTCCTCTCTGCTTTCTCCCCCTCCTCTTCCATCACGTTTCACCGCCTCCCCGATCCCCCTCCTGCCTTAGTCAGCTCTGCCTTTTTTTTTTTTTTTTTTTAATTTTTTTTTTTTTTCCTCCAAAGCTTGAATGTTTTGCACTTGAATATATAAAGTTAATCTCAGAGCTACAGCAGGCTGTATCGGGTGTACGGCCTTTTCAGCAATACGTGCTTCCTCCCACGACCTGCCTCCGTTGCGGCGGAGCGACGCGCTCCCCGAACTGCCCTCCACTGCAGGAGCCCGCGCCGGCTCGGGAGGAGGCCGGAGCAAGAAGAGCTAAACCGCCCCTGCCTTTGTGATAGCAGAGCATCTCCAAAGGCCGAGGCAAGGGGGTGGTACCTTGGCGTCGCACCTGAGACGGGGTGGCTACAGAAAAACCAAGCGGTGACGGCGGCCAAGGCTGCCCTGACGTTTCATGTCCGTCCTTGCGCGTTTAGAAATCCGGAGTTAGCTACAAATGACCGCTTGTGCTTAGGAAAAGGCGTCTTCAAGATGTTTCTGTCTTCGTTCTCTGTTTCTCCACCCCGCTGTCCTGCAAATGTTTTGTTTTGTTCCCCCCCCCCCCCCAACTCAGTTTTTCTTTGCATAAAAGCCGGCAAGCTTCGCTACGCCACACAACAGCACCGAAGCCGGAGTCTGTAGAATTATTTTATTAAAACCTCTAAGTTCCCAGAGCGAGATGGTTTTGAGGATCTAGATGTTTTCTTATAGAGGGGGGGATGAGGGGGAAAAAAAAAAAAAAATGGGGGAAATGTTCTCAAGTTTCTCATGTCCCAAATCTCCATTACTGATTTATTTGCAAAACCAGGGAGGCGAGCAGCACTTCTGGTCGGTGTGCAGGGCAACACTGCGAGGGCTGCTCTCTGCTGAACCGAGCAGACAAAAGGGTTTTGATGGGCCAGCAGCAGCTTTTTACTGGTTCCGTTTTAAACATGCCCGTAACAATTACTTTGTATTTTTGCCTCCCGGTCTGTCCTTCTTTTCCTGTGCTCGAGCAGTTTGACAAAGTCTTCCGCAGGGTGCTGTTGCTCGCAGCTGTGCTCTGCTTGTGTTGTCAGCCCACAACTGGGTTTCTTGCTTTTAAAGAACTCTGGCCAAGCGATTTATTTTTGCCTTGGCTGGCCCTTCTGGCCCAGCATCGTGGGCCAGAAGATCTGCCAAGGTATATCCTTAAACTGGAACAAACCTGAAGGGATGTGGATCCCGAAGTGTCACGTAGATTCAGCCTTACGACTTGTCTGTGAAGAAACCGCCGTGTGTTTCGTGTTATAAACGTGGGGTGGAAAAACATCCCCAAATGGGAGAGAGAAGCGTTGGAGTTTTTGGAATTGTTGATTTCCCTGTACTTCATGTATGCAGGAAGTGGGTTCTGTGTGTTTCATGTTTTAATAGTTGCAACTAATGTTTATAAAGAGCTTGTTCTTTACGTTTTAAGCACTTTAAAAAAAAAAAAATAATAAAAGTTGTTCAAGCTGTTCCTAGATACTTCTGATTTATTGACAACAGCGTCTGTGCTTACAGCACTTGGTCAGTGAGTGACATTTTATCTGTTTATTTTCTGGAGTGGGACGACTGCGTCCAACTTCTCCGGCAGCTTTTCCAGCGTCATTACCGGTCCCCAAGCCCCCGCTGCGGGGGGGTGGTAGTGCTGCAGGGTTACCTTGAGTTCCTCTCCGAATATTGCCCCTCCCTAGGCTCTTTGCTTTCCCACGGGTGTTTCCCAGCCGTGTGGGGTGGCCCCGCTGCCCTGGGGGGAGTGGATCCGCCTGCAGCTCCCTCGCTGCTCGCCGTTGACTTTGCCCCAGCGGAGCAAGGAGGGTAAAGCTGATTATTGCATTCCTGAGGCTTTGTGGAAAATCAGCAGCTGAGGGAGAGGGCAGAGCCCCCGCTGCAGCGTGCTGGGGGAAGGAGAAAGGAGAGCTCGTGGTGCGTGGGCAGGCATGGGCGAGTTCAGCCTCGGGGTGCTGGGTGAGGAAACCCGGCTCCATCAGTGCCGCTGCTTTTACCATTTAGTGGGTGTAAAGTTCAGACCTTGCTTGGTGCAGGACAGATCCCCGGCTGAGACCTTCGCCTCGCACCCCTCTGCCCTAATCCCACCCAGCTGTTCCACCACTCGGCTGCTTTCCTTCATCAAGGCCCGCTTCTTTCTTCATTCCTGCCTTTTCCTTCAAAAAAAAAAAAAAATTAACTCCCCTTAAGCTTCGCTAAATGACTTTGCTGCTCTGACAGAAGAGTTTGTGTTAGCTCTAATCCTCGTTTATTTTTCATCCGGCTGGATCACCGAGCTCAGCACCTGTCTGGGGGATCACGTTAGCCCCCTGAGCTTGGACGGGCTGTGGAGGGGGGGGAATGTTTGGCTCACTGCTTCGCAGGAGCGGGGCGCCGGGCTGAGACCCTCCAAAAGACTGTCCTAAGAAAAGGCAGCCTGAAACGACGGGGCTAGTGTGAGCTTCCCCGGGGCTGCAGGGGCAGAGCAGAGCAGCAGTCACTGGGAGGCTGGGGGGGGAACGGGAATCCTTCGAGCCAGACAGAAAAAGAAGGGTTTTTAAGACCTCAGCCTTGCAAAAACTGCCGCGCGCGATTCCATGGGCTGTCTCTGCCTGCTTGAAAGCTTAAGAGCAGGCTCACGGCCGGTGCAAACAATTCCCGTCCCTGCAGGAAGAGCTGCCTGCGTTTGTTGTTTGAAGCCCGAGTTTTTGCTGCCCGCCGCAAGTTTTCTTAAAATCTGGCTTTACAGATGGAAGCCGACAAGGAATGTTCCTGCGACTTTCTCCCCGAGCCAGCAGGCAGCCCCAGCCCTGCACCCAGCTGTCACGAGTGGGGTGGCTGGCTGAGACCCCCAAATCTCCCTCGGTTTCTAGATGAGCTCGCTCGATGGCTGGGGGGGGCTTCTTCCACCCCCCCACCCAAATGGGAAGAAACGGCAGTGTTGACTTAACAGTCCAATCCCTCCTCCTTCTTCCCCGAACCAGGGAAATGAGAGTTGTCAGTCTAAATGGATCTGGTTAGATTGATATCAGCCAAAGAATTGATATTCTTTCTGGTATTTAACCAAAAAAGTGATAGTCTTATGTCACTCCAAATGTGGTTTTAGATAAACAGATTCTCTCCCCTCTGTTGTTACAAAACATTTCGTGTGTCAACATTAGGGATTGTATCAATTATCTGGCTCTAGCTGTAATGGGAGGGAGGGGGATTTCCCTTGTGTAGAGACAGAGAGATTTGGGTTATCATCCATATTTATTGAGAGCCCGAAGGATTTTTCTGCATTTACTTTTGCAAAGTACGGGATGAAACCTTTAGAAAAAGAAGAGTTGCTTTGTAAAGAATTAGCCCCAGCAAAATGTTTTTATTTTTCCTTTTAAGACACTGTTAGGGCTCCAAGCAGTGTCAGACCCTGCCTAGAAGCAAGCAAAACCCGAATGACACTCTGTTCTTCAGGATAAAGATCGACAGGGCACCACGAGCGGAGGGATAAGAAGGGCAGCTGTAAAACAGAGCTGCAAGCGCCGTGGTTGTGCTGGGGGCTCAAAAGGAGGTTTAAGGCGTGTGAAATCCTGCCCCGGTCGCACGGCTGGAGCAGCAGGCAGCCAGCGCTCCCCCGTCTGCACTGCAGCCACCTTTAATTAAAGTAAGCAAAGCATTAACTCCAGGGAAGGCAGTGGGTACACTCCGGCGAGCAGGATTTGTTGCTGGATCAGATCTTGGCTCGTCCTCTCCGTTCCTGAGGGTTGTGTTTTCCTGCTTGCGCACACCGAGGCAGGGAGAGGGCAAAGGGAGAGGCGATGCCGGCTGCCAGCAGCCCGTAACCCCGAGGGAGCTGGCTGGCGCAGCGCAGGAGGAACAACTGGATTTTTCACCCTATCTCCAAGGGAAAAGGAACATGAAATGAGAAAATGCCATTTTTCCGTGCTGGCGGAAGCTCGTGCCGGTGCAAGGGGCAGGTCCGTGCGCTTTGGCGTGCGGTGTTGCAGCGTCTGCCCCCATGGCAGGTTAAAGCTCCGGAAAAGCACGGTTACCTCTTCCCATGTAACCTGGGGTGACACCACGGGACTCCCCCCTCCAGAAAAGGTGCCCGAGGGGCTGAGGCTGAAAGGAAGCAGCCAGCTGAGCCCAGGCAGTGACACCACGAGGCTCAAGGGACGGCACAAACCCCCGGCCCGGGCAGGAACCGGCAGAGCCTCTCGCCCACCCCACAGCCAGCTGCAACGGGGCTGAGCGCTCCGGCCACGACCAGAGGTGTTGTACTTGCAGCAGGCTCTGGGCCAGGCCCCTTTTCTGCCCCTTTTCCACCCAAAACTGCAGGACGTTTGAGATTCAGCGAGTGGTGAATTAGCCTGAAAACAGAAATTGGATTTGCAGATGGAAAAAGAGCGAGGGAAAAAAAAAAATAAATCAGCGGAGCAGGAGCATCCCCACAGCAAAGCATCGTGATGTTCGTATTTTTCCCCGTATAGCAAAAAATAAGGGATTTTTTTTTTTTTTTTCAGGTACATTGTTTAATTCTTTCATAGATGGAAAATCTGTTTCTGACCCACTGTGTAATCCGTTGCCTTTATTTTCTGCTGCACCAAACCTTCCTCTTACATCCCGACTGCCTTCCCGGCTTCATCCCCATCTCCAGTCTATTTGCTGGCCCTTTGCTCTTCCTCTGAGAATTGATCCTAATCCTCCAAACAATTTCACCGGCATTTGAAGGGCCAGACAATTCTTATTCCACTAATCTAGAGAAGAGGATTCTGGAGATCGCTTCGTACGCACCCCTTCTGCCCCCAGCCCCGCATGACCTTGCCTTTATCTCTGCAAATCGTAACACGGGGGAAGCGGACAAATAAGTCTGCATCAAAGTAAACTTATTAATTCCACGTTTCCTATTCTTCCTTTTTAATCCTGCACTTTAAAGGTCAGTAGCAATTGCTAGGCTCCCATCAAAGTAAGAATATGTATTTCCACAAGGAAATGATGAAATTTGAGTTTTTTTTCAGAAGCTTTTGGGCTTTCACCCTTCTCTGCGTTACTGTTTGCTCAAAGAATTTTCAGAACGAAGGCAAACGTTCGCTTTCCACGTCACGTTCCCGTGCATCCTCTGTCGCCATCCCCATTCCGGCTGCTGTGGCGTCGTCGCTGCGAAAGCAGAGTTCGAGGTTCCAAAAAAAAGCGCATTTCGGCCAGAACCAGGCGGTGCCGGTGGTTTTAGGGCGGGAAGGACGGCGCTGTGTCACCGGTCGCCTCGGACATCTCCGTTAGGTCGCTAAACCCAACCGTTATTCCCCAAAAAGGAGGACAGAGCGGGAGAAGCGGCAACCGAGGCAGGGGAAGGGCCCTTGCTCTACCCAAACCCTGGCGGCTGTTCCCTCGGGGCCTCACGTTCCCCTCAAGCGGAAGGGGGGGAGCCCAGACAAAGTGGGGGCACCTCATAGAACCCCCGAAATCTGAGGGGAGCTCGCTCCCCCCCCTCCATCTCGGGGCTCCCCTCAGGGCTTCCCGCTAAACTACATTTCCCGTCACGCCCCGCGCCGTCGCGCTCTCTCCCCATTGGCTGGCACGGTGGGGGGGGGGGCCTCCCGCTGTTGGGACTCCATTTCCCGGCGTGCCCCGCGGGAGCTGCGGTTGGCCGCGGCCAATCAGCGGGGCGGCGCCGCAAGGGGGCGGGGCCAGGGCCAGCCCGAGGGGAGGTTGTTTAAAGTGGCGCTTGCGGCGCGGGAAGGGAATGGCGGAACCGGCGGACTATCCCCCGTTCCAGCTGGGGAAGCCCCGCTTCGAGCAGGTACCGCCGGCGGCGGGGGGACAGGGCGGGCGCGGGACGGGGCGGGGGGGGGGAGCGGTGGGAGCTGCCCCCCCCCCCCCCCCGCGGCATCGTTGTTCCCCCCTCCCCCCTCCAAACCCCCCCCCCTTCTGTGAGGAGAAACCCCCTTCTCCTCTCCTTCCCGCCCTCCCGCGCTGATTGGCGCGCAGCCCCCCTGCGGTTGGGCCGCGCGTCTATCACTCAGAACCACCGCCCCCGGCGACTCCCGCGGCGGGCCGGTGATTGGCGCGCCCCCGCCGTGCCCCAGGGCCGAGGGTTCGAGCCCCGCCGCCGCCTCCTCTCCGGGGAAGCGGGGTTGAGCTGAGTGTTTTTTTTGGGGGGGGGGGGGGGTCCTCGTCCTTTCCCCACCACCCCCCTTCCCCGGGTGGACATTGCGAGGGCTGGGCCCTGCCCCGGCGTCGAGCCCAAGGTTGCAGGGAGGTGAGGGGCTGCCCCGGGGGAGGCAGCGGGGCCTCCAGCACAGGGCCCGCGGGGCGCTGAGGAGGACTGGGTGGGTGTGGGAGCACCCGGGTGGGTCGCTTCGGCTGCCTCACGACGAGCAGCCCGTGCTGCGGGGCCGTGGCCCGGCAGGGCCTGACGCTGGCGAAATGGCGTCGTGTGGGGTGGCCGGGGCGAACGTGGTCCTTCGTCGTCCCCCGACACCCGATGGGTGCGGGGAATGGGCGAGGACGGACCCCCCCCCCCCCCGGGGTGAGTGACGTGCGGAAACAGACTCCACAATCTGATAGATTGTAAAGTAGGTATGTTTATTCAGCGCTGAGGTACACAGGGGATAACTCCTCCTATTGTGTACCCAACGTGTGATGCTGTTACCTAAGATTTATAGAGCAAATGATTACATATTCATAATATTTCGCAATACGCCTATACATATTCAACACCTATCCCCGCTTTGTATTATAATTAGCATTTCCATAATCTCCTCCTAGTTGAGTCTGCACAGTGTCTTCTGGTGGTGGTCGTGGGGGTCTTTGGGGATGAAGTCAAGCTCCTCTTCCTCCTGTCCGCTCTGTGACCCCAGGTTTTGCGCAGACTCAGTTTCTTACTGGCTGTTGTCCAAACCGTGGGTCTAGTTCCAACCGGCTTGGTACTGATAAACCCTAGAGAGCTCACCGTGTTTTGTAAACTGTCTGCTCACTAAGCAGAACTGTTAACCGTTATCTAAACTATTTCCCTTGAACTATTTTCTTTTGTTATCCCCTTCTTGCTATTATCCCCTTCTTGCTATTCTCATGTTAACCCTTACATCCCCTGTTCCTATCTTGGCCCTGTATCAGTGAGGAGGTCGGAGCAGCTCGGCCCCGCTGCCGCCTTCCCCAACCTCCCTTCCCGAGCACCCCGCCGGCGCCACAGCGCGCCCAGACCACTTGTCGCTCCCGCCGTGCCAGGTCAGGCCGACAAAGTTCATAAAACCTCCTTCGGTTGCTCTTGAGCTGGGTAGGGCTCCTCCGGAGAGGGATGAGCCGTTGCAATTACCAAGTCAAGAACGAGTAGCAGGAGTCTGCTCATTAATAGGGGGGGGGGTGTGTGTGTGTCCCCCCACTATTGGGGCAGTCGCCAAGGAGACTCTTCCCACCATCCACGTGAAATCTGGACGGGACCGCGATTTGCCAACCATCTGACTTGCTAATTGCAGCTCGCGGAGCTTGGCTTGACCGAAGCCACCCCGTTTGGGTTGCCGAGAAGTCCGGTTGCTGGTTTCCCACAGGGAGCCAGCTCTCGGGTGGTGGATCTACGCGCCTCTTCCTCCCCACACTCCTCCTCCACCGCCTTATCCCTGTTCGGGAGGTTGCGGTGGGACCTCCTCAAGAGCAACAGATTCCCCCGCAGCAAGGAAGGGGTGACTTCCCCGCGCCGGGAGCCTGCTCGGCTGCGTGAGCCGAGGGATGCTCAGGCTGGGGAGATGGAGCTTTTTAATAAGGAGAGGAGGAGGAGGAGGAGGAGACGCTACTCCCTTCTAGACACCACAGATGATTCGAGGCACACTTGGCAGCGAGTCAGGCACAGAATCGGTGCGTTCTGTTCATTAAGGAGCGACTGTCACTTGTAGCAACATTTAGAAAATGTTTCGAGGGGTATGGCAGGATGTTAATGATTGCGTGCGCGTTTGAGTGGAGACGTCCTCTCTCCTCGCTGCCGCTCCTGGGAGATGAGCTGGGTGCGTTTTACCCCCACGGCCCGGATCCAGGGTGAGGGTTGTCCGCTGGTGAAAACGCTCTTGGGGGGTTGATGCTTCGGGGGTGCTCTGCCGGAGGGCCACACCGAGCATCAGAAATCATCCCCCTTCTCTTCTATAGTGGCTTTATTCCTTTCCTGTTCTCATTTTCTGCAAAGCAGCGTGGAGCTGTGGAACGGGTCGTGGTGCTGGTGTCCTGCCAGCTCTTCACGCCGTGCTCCCCTGCTTTCTCCCCGCTCCGCCCACGTGTGAAGCGCGGCCGGACAAGCCCAGTTTGGGGTCCGGCGGCGTTGTGGGGTCACACAGCAAGGGAGGCCCCGAGTGTTGCCGGGGTTTAGGGCACCCGGTCGGATCCTGTGGTCAGCTCTGCTCGGGTTGGAACAGAGCAGCCTGCCCCATCAGCGCTGCAACCAGGTCCCGTCTCACAACCCGGCACAACCGAGGTCCTTCACCTCTGGGGCAGACAGTTGCGGTTATTTATTCTCCCCGTCTCGTACCTTGGTGTTTGCTACCAAACTTCAGTCTCCGGTGCTGGGGAAGAGCGCTTACACGAGCCTGAGGGGTTGGCCGACCTTAAACACCACGATCCTTTTCTATCAGCTCTTCAGTGCGTTTCCTCCGCCGCTCTCTGCATTTCCCATTCTTTCGGTGGCTTGTTGCAGGGTTTTATGTGTTTCTAAGATCTTGGCTTGTTGCAGGGTTTTATATGTTTATAAGATCTCAGCTTTAGCAGTCCAGCTGACAAAGGATGCCTCACTTGTTTTGGAAAGGATTAGTGACACTTCGGGAAGTTGTTTAAATTCTAGACGTAGCCCTGTGTGATGACAGCGTTTACTTTTCCTCTGAAACTCTGGCTGGGAGCAGGTCTGGGGCTATTTAAGGGGAGATTTGACTAAAACTGTGGCTGGGAGAGATGCGGGGAGCTGTGCTAAGCATCTTTGTCCCTGCAGGGTAAAACAAGGGAAAGTTGTGTGTTAGGAACAAAAACCTTGGAGAGCAAACTCGGCTGCCTGGGGATTTGGTTCAGAGGAGACTCGGCGGGTTCCTTCCCCCGCCGTGACCCAGAGCTCCCGGGAAGTGGCTGAGCAGAATTTAGGACAGCAGGCAGGAGACATCCATCCCCAGCAGCACCTCTGGAGCTTATTAAATTCCCCTTTTCTCCTCCCTTGTTTTGCTGTTCACTTGTTTTTCTTGAGCTTTGGGCAAGTCATTCTGTCCAGTCACCTTTTTTCTTGTTTGTTTGTTTCTTTGCTGGAAAGAGCATTTGCCTCCCAGTGGAAGCAGCCTATTTTTAGGTAGAAGAAGAAATGAGGACGTTAGGCGTGAGAATGTGTGATAAGGGCTTAATTTTCTGACAAGTAATTCTAACTTGTTAGACGTACCCTTTTTTTTTTTATTTTTTTTATTTTTTTTTTTTCAGAGGATTTGCTAAATGTTCCCTTTTCCAGAGCCAAACCACTAATCCCAGTGCTCTGGGGTCTTTGCCTGTAGCACAGGTATTTACCCTAGGCAAAATAAATCATTTTTTTTCTGTCAGAGCTGAGAAAAACTTTCCAGTAAGGGTCTAAATAAGGTGTGGGTGCTGTTGATTGCAAACCAGGGGTGTTAACTGCTGGAGGAAGACAGTGCCAGTTAAACTCTGGTGTTTTTAATTGGGGCCAGCCCTCTAAAAAGTAACACAAGGTTTCTTGGCCAATGTGAGAGGACTGCAAGCACGGGGGAAACCGAAGAAGTGAGCTGACTTCCTTCCCAGCTGAAGTCAAGGGTGGTCATCTCCACAAGCAGAACCCCTGAGTATGCCTTGTCCTCTCTGTGAAGTAGGAAAAAAAAAAAAAAAAGTCACAGGTCTTGGATCCTTCAGGGGAAGGAGAGGGAAATAAACCCAAACCAGAATCATGAATATCTTTTATCCCTTGAGCAGCTCAGTGTATGCGTACAGTCGTGGAGTACATGATGTGCTCAGGACGTTTTATTCTGTTGGCCAAACACGCCGTTTCTGCGGCTGCGGTATTAACAGCATCGTTAGAGATGTGCTGTTTGTCAGAGCTTGACCTTGCAGATATTTTAAATGTGTTGAGAGCCAACATCCGAATCTCAGAAATGTCTCATAAGGACATTAGTGCTAAAAATCATGATTGCCTGCTTTTTGTATGCTTTAATCTGATAAGTTTAAAGCACAACCAGGGGTTTTTACCCCCCGCACTCCCCGCCCCCCCCCCCCCCAGCAAAACCACCTATGCCTCCTATGTCCAAGATAACCCTTGCAATAACACACAGAGAAAGATGCTGTTGATTAGATACGCCTCTCAGGAGCTTAATGGCTTGCTGCTTGTGTACTGTGATTGCTGAAAGCCCGGGTACGGGCAGCAGGAGGAACCAGGGCTGGATCCTAACACAGAAGTTTCTCCTCGTGCTGCTCACTGTAATGTTATTTTCCACTATAAAAAATGAAAATGAAACGCCTCTCTCCTAAAGGGGCGTCATTATGGGGAAGGGATTTTCTTAAAAGGCTGCGGGAGGATGTTTAAGGTTGGTTCATAACTGCTTTAATTCTTGTGTACGTGCAGGTCCAGCCCAGCATGTAGAAGTGGCTTGAGAGGAGGTTGGCATATGCTAAATGGTGTTTGCTGTCGCCAAATGTGGCTTTTTCAGCCCCAAAGATGGGCTGACCCTGTCTGTCCTGTGCAATCTAAAGGGTCCTGCAAACACGTGCTTAAAGGTGCATTGCAGAGAAGAATTGGAAATTGAGGCACCTTTGGGTTTGATGTTTATCTGTTAACTTCAC